GGACTCAAATCCTGCAGTGCCAGACGTGTCCCCCTGCTTAAGCCAGTACATGTCCAGGCCCGTCTGAAGTTTGCTAGAGTGCATTTGGATGATCCAGAAGAGGATTGGGAGAATGTCATATGGTCAGATGAAACCAAAATATAACTTTTTGGTAAAAACTCAACTCTTCGTGTTTGGAGGACAAAGAATGCTGAGTTGCATCCAAAGAACACCATACCTACTGTGAAGCATGGGGGTGGAAACATCATGCTTTGGGGCTGTTTTTCTGCAAAGGGACCAGGACGACTGATCCGTGTAAAGGAAAGAATGAATGGGGCCATGTATTGTGAGATTTTGAGTGAAAACCTCCTTCCATCACCAAGGGCATTGAAGATGAAATGTGGCTGGGTCTTTCAGCATGACAATGATCCCAAACACCGCCGGGCAACGAAGGAGTGGCTTCGTAAAAAGCATTTCAAGGTCCTGGAGTGGCCTAGCCAGTCTCCAGATCTCAACCCCATAGAAAATCTTTGGAGGGAGTTGAAAGTCCGTGTTGCCCAGCGACAGCCCCAAAACATCACTGCTCTAGAAGAGATCTGCATGGAGGAATGGGCCAAAATACCAGCAACAGTGTGTGAAAACCTTGTGAAGACTTACAGAAAACGTTTGACCTGTGTCATTGCCAACAAAGGGTATATAACAAAGTATTGAGAAACTTTTGTTATTGACCAAATACTTATTTTCCACCATAATTTGCAAATAAATTCATTAAAAATCCTACAATGTGATTTTCTGTCATAGTTGACGTGTACCTATGATGAAAATTACAGGCCTCTCTCATCTTTTTAAGTGGGAGAACTTGCACAATTGGTGGCTGACTAAATACTTTCTTTCCCCACTGTACATTTAAACTCAGTTTTTCACAATTCCTGACATTTAATCCTACAACAAATCCCCTGTCTTAGGTCAGTTAGGATCACCACTTTATTTTAAGAATGCGAAATGTCAGAATAATAGTAGAGAGAATGATTTATTTTATTTCATTCATCACATTCCAAGTGGGTCAGAAGTTTACCTACACTCAATTAGTATTTGGTAGCATTGCCTTTAAATTGTTTAACTTGGGTCAAACGTTTCAGGTAGCCTTCCACAAATTTCCCCCAATAAGTTGGGTGAATTTTGGCCCATTCCTCTTGACAGAGCTGGTGTAACTGAGTCAGGTTTGTAGGCCTCCTCGCTCGCACACGCTTTTTCAGTTCTGCCCACACATTTTCGATAGGATTGAGGTCAGGGCTTTGTGATGGCCACTCCAATACCTTGACTTTGTTGTCCTTAAGCCATTTTGCCACAACTTTGGAAGTATGCTTGGGGTCATTGTCCATTTGGAGACCCATTTGCGACCAAACTTTAACTTCCTGACTGATGTCTTGAGATGTTGCTTCAATATATCCATATAATTTTCCTTCCTCATGATGCCATCTATTTTGTGAAGTGCACCAGTCCCTCCTGCAGCAAAGCACACCCACAGCATGATGCTGCCATCCCCGTGCTTCACGGTTGGGATGGTGTTGTTCGGCTTGCAAGCAACCCCCTTTTTCCTCCAAACATTATGGTCATTATGGCCAAACAGTTCTATTTTTGTTTCATCAGACCAGAGGACATATCTCCAAAAAGTATGATCTTTGTCCCCATGTGCAGTTGCAAACCGTAGTCTGGCTATTTATGTCGGTTTTGGAGCAGTGGCTTCTTCCTTGCTGAGCGGCCTTTCAGGTTATGTCGATATAGGACTTGTTTTGCTGTGGATATAGATACTTCTGTACCTGTTTCCTCCAGCATCTTCACAAGGTCCTTTGCTGTTGTTCTGGGATTGATTTGCACTTTTCGCACCAAAGTACGTTCATCTCTAGGAGACAGAACGCGTCTCCTTCCTGAGCAGTATGATGGCTACGTGGTCCCACTGTGTTTATACTTGTGTACTATTGTTTGTACAGATGAATGTGGTACCTTCAGGCGTTTGGAAATTGCTCCCAAGGATGAACCAGACTTGTGGAGGTCTACAATAATTTTTTTGAGGTCTTGGCTGATTTCTTTTGATTTTCCCATGATGTCAAGCAAAGAGGCACTGAGTTTGAATGTATGCCTTGAAATACATCCACAGGTACACCTCCAATTGACTCAAATTATTTCAATTAGCCTATCAGAAGCTTCTAAAGCCATGACATAATTTTCTGGAATTTTCCAAACTGTTTAAAGGCACAGTCAACTTAGTGTTCTGACCCACTGGAATTGTGATAAGGGCTGATTTCAAGGTTTTACTGTTAACCTATAAAGCGTTACATGGGCTTGCTCCTACCTATCTTTCCGAGTTGGTCCTGCCGTACATACCAATACGTACGCTACGGTCACAAGACGCAGGCCTCCTAATTGTCCCTAGAATTTCTAAGCAAACAGCGGGAGGCAGGGCTTTCTCCTATAGATCTCCATTTTTATGGAACAGTCTGCCTACCCATGTGAGAGACGCAGACTCGGTCTCAACCTTTAAGTCTTTACTGAAGACTTATCTCTTCAGTAGGTCATATGATTGAGTGTAGTCTGGCCCAGGAGTGTGAAGGTGAACGGAAAGGCTGGAGCAACGAACAGCCCTTGCTGTCTCTGCCAGGCCGGTTCCCCTCTCCACTGGGGTTCTCTGCCTCTAACCCTGTTGCAGGGGCTGAGTCACTGGCTTGCTGGTGCTCTTTCATGCCGTCCCTGGGAGGGGTGCGTCACTTGAGTGGGTTGAGTTACTGACGTGATCTTCCTGTCTGGGTTGGCGCCCCCCCCTTGGTTTGTGCTGTGGTGGAGACCTCTGTGGGCTATACTCGGCCTTGTCTCAGGATTGTAAGTTGGTGGTTGGGGATATCCCTCTAGTGGTGCGGGGGCTGTGCTTTGGCGGAGTGGGTGGGGTTATATCCTTCCTGTTTGGCCCTGTCCGGGGGTTTCTTCGGATGGGGCCACAGTGTCTCCGGACCGCTCCTGTCTCAGCCTCCAGTATTTATGCTGCAGTAGTTTATGTGTCGGGGGGCTGGGGTTAGTTGGTTATACCTGGAGTACTTCTCTTGTTTTATCCTGTTTTCTGTGTGAATTTAAGTATGCTCTCTCTAATTCTCTCGTTCTCTCTTTCTCTCTGAGAACCTGAGCCCTAGGACCATACGTCAGGACTACCGGGCATGATGACACCTTGCTGTCCCCAGTCCGCCTGGCCTTGCTGCTATTCCAGTTTCAACTGTTCTGCCTGCGGCTACGAAACCCCTACCTGTCCCAGACCTGCTGTTTTCAACTCTTAATGATCGGCTATGAAAAGCCAACTGAGAGACCTGAGCCCTAGGACCATACGTCGGGACTACCGGCCGTGGTGACTCCTTGCTGTCCCCAGTCCGCCTGGCCTTGCTGCTATTCCAGTTTAAACTGTTCTGCCTGCGGTTATGGAACCCCTACCTGTCCCAGACCTGCTGTTTTCAAACTCTTAATGATCGGCTATGAAAAGCCAACTGAGATTTATTCCTGATTATTATTTGACCATGCTTGTCACTTATGAACATTTTTGAACATCTTGGCATGGTTCTGTTATAATCTCCACCCGGCACAGCCAGAAGAGGACTGGCCACCCCTCATAGCCTGGTTCCTCTCTAGGTTTCTTCCTAGGTTTTCGCCTTTCTAGGGAGTTTTTCCTAGCCACCGTGCTTCTACACCTGCATTACTAGCTGTTTGGGGTTTTAGGCTGGGTTTCTGTACAGCACTTCGAGATATTAGCTGATGTAAGAAGGGCTATATAAAATAAAATTGAAATTGATTGATACAGTGAATTATAAGTGAAATAATCTGTCTGTAAACAATTTTTGGAAAAATGACTTGTGTCATGCACAAAGTGCATGTCCTAACCGACTTGCCAAAACTATAGTTGGTTAAAAAGACATTTGTGGAGTGGTTGAAAAACGAGTTTTAATGACTCCAACCTAAGTGTATGTAAACTTCCTACTTCAACTGTATTTTCCAGACTTTCACATCTTCCATTTCCTCCTGCTGTTCTCTTGCGTTCTTCTGATGAGTTTAAGACTAACTTCGGTTCACTGAGTCCAAATAAACATGCATAATGCAAATTATACTAATAATGCAAACTCTTTTTCATAAATCACTGTTCACACCATACAATTATGTTTCATAAAGGTGCTCCCTGGAACAACTAAATGGTATTGACAATGTCACTTGACTGATCCAAATATAGTACAGTTTCTAACCTCTGACTGTCCTCAACAGTTGGCCGTGTAGTTGAAAGGATGGGGGAAGTGAACATTTAGAAGTAAAGTTATAAGGGTGACATACTGTATGTTAAGAGGATATCCTGTGTCATTGACTATAACTCATATCTCAGCATGCGATCCCTTCAGTGTGGGGACAGCCAGCCAGGACATTGGTTGCATTAGAATTTGTTTTACAATGTTGTCGAAAAACAAGTATATTGCTCTTACTGCATTCTTCTGTATGTTTGCAAATGTTGACTGTTAACTTTTGCACACAGGTTGATAAGTCATCACCACCACATCAATTCCAATGGCCTGTTAGATTTCAACACACTGACATGACTTGTAATATCAAGTAGAAGGAGATGTAAAAAACAATGAGCCTGCTGTTTGTCCCTGAATAAGAGCATGCATTGTCTTCCTCTTTCAACGTCCACTTCCTCTATTCTCCTGAGGTGTCAGATATAATTAATTTCCTAATTAATCCAATGACCTTTGACTTGGGTATTAATTTCCTCTATGCAAAGTCTGGAACTCTTAATGTTGCTCTGATGTAGTCGTCAGGCACACGGCTAGTGAATTACTCTAATACTGTAGATGCCTCATGGAAGGTTGCACATTTATTAGATGTCAAGAATCTATTTATGTCTTTTATGATTTGGGCTTGGTCACATAAAACTCCTGGCCCCATTTAGGATCACCATCATGTAAGTTCTGGCACTGTACTAATCTTGTACTTAATGGTATTTCAAGGTGAATCCTCTGCTGGAGGCCTTTGGCAATGCCCAGACTGTGATGAATGACAACAGCAGTCGCTTTGGGAAGTATATTCAGCTGCGCTTCCACAACTCCTCAGGTGTGTGTGTGTGTGTGTGTGCCATTTATTCATCATCTACTGTGTGTGCTTATGTTAATGTATTTATACACTTGCAAGAGAAAGTATTTCCTGTGAATTACGTGATGATTACATTCATACGACAAAGACATTAGATGCAGCATGACTTATTTGAGCGTTTAATGTGTTGTAACACTGAACCTGTGTGTGTCTGCATGTGTATGTGTGTGGTGCTGTGATCTAACAGTAAAAGGAGCTAAGATCAATGAGTACCTCCTGGAGAAGTCTCGTGTGGTCCACCAGGATGAGGGCGAGAGGAACTTCCATATCTTCTACTGCATGCTGGCGGGTATCTCCCCGGACGACAAAGACATGTATGGACTCCTGGACCCCACGCAGTACAGGTGGGTCCCACTGTGATGTCATCACTTTGCAACGTTTCCTCAACAGGTAGCAATACAGTGGCTGTGGTCTGGGAATCAGTTAGAAAATACATTTACATTTTACATTTTAGTCATTTAGCAGACGCTCTTATCCAGAGTGACTTACAGTTAGTGAGTGCATACATTTTCATACTGCCCCCCCCGTGGGAAACGAACCCACAACCCTGGCGTTGCAAGTGCCATGCTCTACCAACTGAGCTACAGGGGACTACATTCCACTCTAGACTTGACATTGTTTACAATGCTGACAGATGGGTCTATAAAGAGGTACAGAATACATATCTAGCTGAACCAACCACAGAACCACTGAAAGCTCCTGCGTGTCGGTATCTTCACTAGTTGTTCCTGGCACCAAACCTGTAAACAATCATGTTCAGTTGAACTTCAGATACCCACCTGGATACCCTTCTGCTGGAAACTTGGCAAGAAGATACACACAAACACTAAATGTTTCAACAGAAGTCAAGGGGGACATTTAAATGTGGTAAAGGAAAAACAAGGTCTGAATAGTGGTTTCTAAAAATCAAAAGTAAGGAACAAGTTGTTTATCACATTGAATATGAACTTTGTAGTAGAGTGGAGTTGCTTGTTAAAAATCATACAATCATACAATCATACCACACTGTCATCAAGGTGTCATAGGTCACACACTCTCTGTAATCACTAATAGCGTGATGCCCTCTTACTGTGACAGTCTCAGCAGGGTGAGATACTGACTTGCTCTGTATCTTCCTGTAATAACCCATATAATATTATGCAATATGCCGTATTTTCCTCTTGTCACTTCCTTATCACAGTTTCAAGCTGTAAGTAGGTGTGTCTAAGTAATTCATTACCTTTCCTGGCATAAACCAAGGTGTTTGTTTTGGAACTCTGCTATCTAGGCCTAATGTTCCTGTCTTTTTTGGTTCTTATGGCTTATACAAGTAGCGACCACATAGTTCTCAGTGTATGCTACTTGTATTTCACTTCTTCTTGACAGTTGAACAGGCCTGGAGTGAAATGCTAGGTATTTAAACAATGTGGTGTTTGTAGAGCCCTACCATACAGTGCAGTTGTTGTGTGGTATGATAGTGGGTGCCCTACTATGTTGTAGAGCCTTTACGATACAGTGCACCAATGTAGAAGCCTCAAAGTGTTTGTCTATCAGATATGCATAATGTGTTGACCATCATGCCTCCTTCATATGTAGCCTGTGTGTGTGTGTAGTTATCTGTGTTCACCCATTAGATCTGTATAAATGTGTTTCTGTGGCTGTCTGTCAGGTATCTGAATGGGCGGTACGGCTCTGAGGACATAGTGAGGAAATGGGGGGAGAAGTACAGTGAGGTGTGTAATGCCATGGACATGGTGGGATTTGAGGAACAGGTAAGACCTCTCATTGGAAAACTATCTTTCTCATCCTCTTACAGTATGTCAGTCATAAAAGCAAACTCATATTGTCCCATATTGTCCTGGGATTTCACATGTTCTCCAGGAGTAGAACATCTGAATGTACTTTAATGTTAGACTAATTGGTTGGTTGACTGATAAACAAATGGGTTGATGGATAAACTGATTAACCAAAAGATAATTGACCAATTTATTTGATGACGGTATGATTGATTGACAGATGTATTGACTGACAGATGGACTGATGTATACTGTATATGTTGTGTCATCAGGAGAAGGTAGACATGATGACTATCCTAGCAGGAATCCTGTCTCTGGGAAACATCATGTTTGAGCCCACAGAGACCGACGCTCTCAGGGTCACCGAGAAGTCCATGGGCTGGCTCAAAGCCACAGCCGTGAGTCTACTCTACAGCCTTCTCTTTCATCCTTATTTTACTTAACAAGAAAATGGTTTAGATCAGAGCTCTCCAACCTTGTTCCTGGAGAGATACCCTCCTGTAGGTTTTTCGCTCCAACTCCAGTTACTATGACCTGATTCAGCTTTTCCAACCAGCTAATTATTAGAATCAGGTGTGCTAGATAACCTACAGGACGGTAGCTCTCCAGGAACAGGGTTGGAGAGCCTTGGTTTAGATACTGTGGCAATTATTACCAACATTAGGCGATCTCTTTTAAGCTTATGGATTGATGAATAATCAATGAAAATTCACCTTTGTCCTTTTTATCAATTTATTCACGTTTGTCCTTGTTTGTTAACAGTTCCCATTATCTGAAGTACAGTAATTACAGAAGCAACATCTGTTAACATTTACAATGTCCTTATTGACCTGTGGGTGTTTTCCAAATAGGCAATTAACATCTTGCTTGCTTTCCAACAGTAGAGGAGTCCATCTGTTGGAATAATAATCATAATAGATGTATACTGAACACGAATATAAACGCAACATGCAACAATTTCAAAGATTTGACTGAGTTACAGTTCATATAAGGAAATCACCCACTTGGGAGCCAGGTCCACCCACTGGGGAGCCAGGCCTAGCCAATCAGAATTAGTTTTTTTTCCCCACAAAAGGGCTTTATTAGAGACAGAAATACTCCTCAGCACCCCCTCAGACGAAGCCACATGTGGAGGTCCTGGGCTGGCGTGGTTACACGTGAGGCCGGTTGGACGTACTGCCAAATTCTCTAAAACGATGTTGGAGGTTATGGTAGAGAAATGAATATAAAATTCTCTGGCAACAGCTCTGGTGGACATTCCTGCAGTCAGCATGCCAATTGCACGCTCCCTCAACTTGAGACTGTGGTATTGTGTTGTGTGACAAAACTGTACATTTTAGAGTGGCCTTTGATTTGTCTCCAGCACAAGGTGCACCTATGTAATGATCATGCTGTTTAATCAGCTTCTTGATATGCCACACCTGTCAGGTGGATGGATTATCTTGGCAAAGGAGAAATGCTCACTAACAGGGATGTAAAGAAATGTGTGGTCAAAATTTGAGATAAATAATATTTTTGTGCATATGGAAGATTTCTGGGATCTTTTATTTCAGCTTATGAAACATGGCACCAACACTTTACATGTTGTGTTTATATTTTTGTTCAGTATATTTTATATAGTGCCTTTCATTACAATTTTTTACAAAATAAACAAATATAGCATTCTGGCAGTTATTGGACGATGGTCTTCCACAGCTTCAGATGAAAGGGTGAGGCAGTTCAGAAGGGCAGTAGGCCTAGCTTGAGTGGAGGGAGCTGCGATGGTAGCAAGACGGAGGGAGATCAGTCCGGTCTGGAGCTCTTCATCAGGCACCTTGTCTCTGCTCCTCCTCCTCCTCCGTAGGTAGGCTGGTTTGTTAACTAACGAAAAGATAGCAACCAGCTGGGTGATGCTTCGGCAACTGTTAAAGCGGCAGAAGACTAGGCGAGCCTCATCTCCTCACACCGCAGGCCACAACCTTCCAGAAACCGGGGCAGATGGCACATAAAGCCGGTGCTGTGTTGTTGCATCATTTAAAATGATTGCGTAGCCAGCCAGCTAGCTAGGCAATCCAAACAAACAAACTGATTTGCCATTAGTCCAGCAACTCCATTAGTCAAGACCACCTGTCAGATATTTTAACTTGACAACAGTCAAGAAGTTATATATTTACATATGTACAGGAGCTCTCTGCTTAGGCTGCTTCACGGCTCTATTATAGTGGTTTAAACAGCAGAAGAGAGGGGTTCAATGACTAAGGTTGGGGGAAAACCTGTAGTGCTGCCAGTCCTGAGCATACATAGTAAAATAAACAAGGGGATTGTTGAGCCAATTGCTACAGTCCTCTCCTCACACAATGACCATTGACCGTTCTAATGTGGGCAGCTGCTTGCTCCTGGAGACACAGTGTAGACACTTTTAGCAAAAAGGTTGTGTGTGTGTGTCTTGGTGTGCTATTCAACTAGTTTGTGTGTGTGTGCATGATATTTAAACGTTCTACTGTGTCCGTTCGTTTGTGTATGCATAGATCCACAGGTGATAGTGTATGTATGTGTGTGTGTGTATGTATGTGTGTGTGTGCATACATGTGCCTTCTATTTAAACAGGTGAATGATTGCCCCTTCCTCCACAGTAACTCCCCCATAAGCAGGCCTCCCAGGCAGGCAGACGGTGGTGATGGTGGGCTGAGCCAACATCTGGCCAGCTCAGATAAGACACAGTGCCTGTAAAAGGTCACGAGGGGCTATATTTGGAGTTCAATGGAGAGGTATTGCTCACAATGCTAGGTGTACTTCCAACTGACGTAGGTTCAGCTGCCCTTTGCCCTGTTTTAACCGTTATCATTATGAGCAAAACAACGTCACAGACCCTGGTCATTGAGGTGATTGGCAGGGGTGATTAGAGCATTCTGGCAGCAGGGGTGATTAGAGTATGCTAACAGCAGGGGTCCAACCACTGTAAGTGTTTCTCCTTTAGTGATGCTAATGCTAAACTGTTGCTAATATAGACAAACCCAAAATGTTGTGTTGCTGACTCTGGTCCACTGACTACTACTGGGTATACAGCTATGAGCCAAATGTATAGTTTGGTTGAACTATACCTTTTTGAGGGCTAATAGTAGTAAAGTAGGACTACATTGTGAAATCTATAGCACTAGGTCGGTTTCCCCTTTTTTGACATTGATTAATTGAAAGTATCGCTGTCTGAGGATGGCCTTTGTTTGATGTGTGGCAGGTTTTTGCATGCCTAGCATTGCCATGACCTTAGCTTTGTATGTTCAGTAGGGCCATGTCTGGGTTAAAGGAGCCTTGGGGCTGGGTTAGCATGGAGGTTGTTTTTGGTTGAAATGTGAGTGTCACTCACTATACTTTATACCAGTGTATCACTATACTATCAGTGGTCTAAACGTTTAAGCGTGGATTTATGAACCTGGCAGTGATTTTGTGTGTGTAAACTATAAGCTTGTGTGCTTTGTGCGCTTTCTGTGTAGGCCTATGCTTTTGTGTGTTAATATTTGTGTGTGTTTGCCTTCTCAGGGTCAGTTTGGGGTGCAGGAGGAGGAGTTGCTGAGGAGTCTGACCTGTACTCTGTCTGTGACGAGAGGAGAGGCCATTCGCAGGCTGCACAACCAGCAGCAGGCTGAGGGTAAGGAGAAAAACACTCAAGCACTGGTCCGGGATCAACTTTCCCTACCACCATCACCTTAGCCATTAGGAAGAAGGGCATGGGTCAGTATTAACCACCATGGATACTAACTGTTCCATGGTGGTTAATACTGGGCCCAGTTTCCTCTTTCATTGGGTCTTTCCATGAAACTGGAGAGCACAATATTTATGTAGCTACATACCTGACAATGCTAGAACACAAGTATGAATGAACATAACAGGACACGGTTGCATACAGTAAATGTGCTGTGTCTTTAGCGCTTATTACTAGTGCCAACCAGGCATGTCCTTGAGGTACTTGGACAGGTTTGAGTTTTCACCCTAATGGTTAAGGTTTGGATTTAGGGAGGGTAAGCTGACCACAACTTCCTCCTAGAGTTTAAATAAGGCCCATGTCTGGCTGACCAACTAGTGCAAATAGAGACTGCTTTTAGCATCAATGGGAGAGAAAAAAAGGAGCGGAAGCTGAATATGGAAATGCTATTAATAATGTTTTCAAGAGCGCTTGACTCCATTAATATGTTGTGTGTTTATCTGCAGATGCCAGGGACTCCATCGCCAAAGTGGCTTATGGGAGAGTATTCGGCTGGATCGTCAGTAAAGTTAACGAACTGCTGGCTCCCAACGTTGACTTTGACATTGAGCTCAGTGAAATAGGTGAGTTTCAAGGGAAACTTTAAGGCTTCAAAAGTAATACAATTCCTAAACTCTTCATATGTTTTCTTCCTCGCAAGCAGAGATGGTCGATGTCAGATTGACCATTCGATTTTCTTGTTCTATAATACAGGTATCCTCGATATTTTTGGGTTTGAGAATTTCGCTGTGAACCGTTTTGAGCAGCTCTGCATCAACCTGGCCAATGAACAGCTGCAGTACTTCTTTAACCATGTAAGTGTAAATATCAGTGCCACAAGGAAGTACAGTGGGGGAAAAAAAGTATTTAGTCAGCCACCAATTGTGCAAGTCCTCCCACTTAAAAAGATGAGAGGCCTGTAATTTTCATCATAGGTACACGTCAACTATGACAGACAAATTGAATTTTTTTTTCCAGAAAATCACATTATAGGATTTTTAATGAATTTATTTGCAAATTATGGTGGAAAATAAGTATTTGGTCACCTACAAACAAGCAAGATTTCTGGCTCTCACAGACCTGTAACTTATTCTTTAAGAGGCTCCTCTGTCCTCCACTCGTTACCTGTATTAATGGCACCTGTTTGAACTTGTTATCAGTATAAAAGACACCTGTCCACAACCTCAAACAGTCACACTCCAAACTCCACTATGGCCAAGACCAAAGAGCTGTCAAAGGACACCAGAAACAAAATTGTAGACCTGCACCAGGCTGGGAAGACTGAATCTGCAATAGGTAAGCAGCTTGGTTTGAAGAAATCAACTGTGGGAGCAATTCTTAGGAAATGGAAGACATACAAGACCACTGATAATCTCCCTCGATCTGGGGCTCCACTCAAGATCTCACCCCGTGGGGTCAAAATGATCACAAGAACGGTGAGCAAAAATCCCAGAACCACACGGGGGGACCTAGTGAATGACCTGCAGAGAGCTGGGACCAAAGTAACAAAGCCTACCATCAGTAACACACTACGCCGCCAGGGACTCAAATCCTGCAGTGCCAGACGTGTCCCCCTGCTTAAGCCAGTACATGTCCAGGCCCGTCTGAAGTTTGCTAGAGTGCATTTGGATGATCCAGAAGAGGATTGGGAGAATGTCATATGGTCAGATGAAACCAAAATAGAACTTTTTGGTAAAAACTCAACTCTTCGTGTTTGGAGGACAAAGAATGCTGAGTTGCATCCAAAGAACACCATACCTACTGTAAAGCATGGGGGTGGAAACATCATGCTTTGGGGCTGTTTTTCTGCAAAGGGACCAGGACGACTGATCCGTGTAAAGGAAAGAATGAAATGGGGCCATGTATCATGAGATTTTGAGTGAAAACCTCCTTCCATCAGCAAGGGCATTGAAGATGAAACGTGGCTGGGTCTTTCAGCATGACAATGATCCCAAACACACCGTCCGGGCAACGAAGGAGTGGCTTCGTAAGAAGCATTTCAAGGTCCTGGAGTGGCCTAGACAGTCTCCAGATCTCAACCCCATAGAAAATCTTTGGAGGGAGTTGAAAGTCCGTGTTGCCCAGCGACAGCCCCAAAACATCACTGCTCTAGAGGAGATCTGCATGGAGGAATGGGCCAAAATACCAGCAACAGTGTGTGAAAACCTTGTGAAGACTTACAGAAAATGTTTGACCTGTGTCATTGCCAACAAAGGGTATATAACAAAGTATTGAGAAACTTTTGTTATTGACCAAATACTTATTTTCCACCATAATTTGCAAATAAATTCATAAAAAATCCTACAATGTGATTTTCAGGAATTCTTTTCCTCATTTTGTCTGTCATAGTTGACGTGTACCTATGATGAAAATTATAGGCCTCTCTCATCTTTTTAAGTGGGAGAACTTGCACAATTGGTGGCTGACTAAATACTTTTTTTCCCCACTGTAGCCCTATAATCTAGGGTGTTTCTCTATTTAAGTTCCCTAAAATGACAGCCTGTAAGATTTGTTAACTTAAGATCCAAACACTTAAAAGAAACACGTGGCCAGCTTGTTTCTTTATTTAGTATTAGTAGAGGAACAGGAAAATTGTGAACAAAGTCTACAATAGGTTCTGCTTTTTGAAATGGCTATAAATGCCTATTCAGTGAAAGGCTTCAGAAAAATAATGAATTAGGTCAGAAAGTATTCACACCCCTTGACTATTTCCACATTTTGTTGTGTTACAGCCTGAATTTAAAATGGATTACATTTAGATGTTGTGTCACTGATCTACACACAATACACCATAATGTCAAAGTGGAATTATATTTGTGAATTTTTTAAATAAATGAATAAAAATAAATTAAAACGTTTAAAAACTGTTAGTTTAATGGCTGTGATGGGATAACTGAGGATGGATCAACAACATTGTGTTTACTCCACAATACTAACCTAAATGACAGAGTGAAAATAAGTAAGCCTGTAAAGAATACAAATATTCCAAAACATGCATCCTGTTTGCAATAAGGCACTAAAGTAAAACTGCAAAAAATGTGGCAAAGAAATGTACTTTATGTCCTGCATACAAAGCCTTATGTTTGGGGCAAATCCGACACAACACATTACTGAGTACCACTCTCCATATTTTCAAGCATAGTGATGGCTGCATCATGTTATGGGTATGCTTGCAATCGTTAAGGACTGGGGAGTTTTTCAGGATAAAAAAAGAAACGGAATGGAGCTATGCACAGGCAAAATCCTGTGAAAGCTCTTAGAGACTTACCCAGAAAGACTCACAGCTGTAATTTCTGACAAATGTGCTTCTACAAAGTATTGACTCAGGGGTTGTGAATACTTATGTAAATGAGCTATTTCTGTATTTAATTTCTAAAAACAATGTGTTCATATTGTGTGTAGATGGGTGTAGATGGGTGAGAAAAAAACATATTTAATCAATTTTCAATTCAGGCTGTAACACATCAAAATGTGGAATAAATGAAGGGGTATGCATACTTTCGGAAGGCGCTGTACATATGCATGTGATGCTGGAGTTAAAGACAGCCTATTTTTACTAGTCATGCTGCTGTGGTTTGGAGCACCACGCTCTACTAGTTAACATTACACAATTTACCTTGTGATCACTGAGTATATTGATTCAAAGATACTGTCCACACGTCCAACAAACATCCACAGGTATTTGGTCAAATGCCATAGGAAGAACAAAAACCACAAATACCCACAAACCTTTTTGAGTATATTTCCTGATATACTTGACTTGCACATTGATACACATGACACCAGATCAGGAAGAGCAGGCTTTACTTTCTCCCTTAGGCCTGAAACGTGAGGCCTCATCACCGCCAGCCATCAAATGTCCCTGTACCGCTTTTCTTTTTGGCATACAACATTTTTATAGGAAAGGGGATCTGTTTTTAATCTCTTGTTCCGCTTTCTCAAAAGGCAGCACATTTTCCACTCTCATTTGCAGCTTTTGAGTGCTTCGGTGGGGTGGGGGTAGAAATCTGCTTCTGATTATTTACCATTGTCGGATCACTACACTGCATTATACGCTGAGTGTACAAAACATTTAAGAACAATTTCCTAATATTGAGTTGCAACCCCCCCTGCCCTCAGAACAGCCTCAATTCGTCAGGACATGGACTGTACAAGGTGTCAAGCGATCCACAGGGATGCTGGCCCATGTTGACTCCAATACTTCCCACAGTTGTGTCAAGTTGGCTGAATGTCATTTGAGTGGTGGACCATTCTTGATACATACGGGAAACTGTTGAGTGCCAAAAACCCAGCAGTGTTGAAGTTCTTGACACAAACCGGTGCGCCTGGCACCTACTACCATACACCGTTCAAAGGCAATTAAATATTTTGTCTTGCCCAATCCCCCTCTGAATGGCACACATACACAATCCATGTCTCAAGGCTTAAACATCCTTCTTTAACCTGTCTCCTCCCCTTCATCTACAATGATTTGAAGTGGATTTTAAAAGTGACATCAATAAGGGATCATAGCTTTCACCTGGATTAATCTGGTCAGTGTATGTCATGGAAAGAGCAGGTGTTCTGAATGTTTTGTGCACTCATTGTATAGTCATTTTATTGGAGTGGACTACATTATTTACACTGAACAAAAATATAAACGCAACATGCATCAATTTCTAGTTTTTAATGAGTTACAGTTCATATAAGGAAATCAGTCAAATGAAATAAATTCATTAGGCCCAAAGCTATGGATTTCACATTACTGGGAATACAAATGTGCATCTGTTTGTCACAGATACCTTAAAAAGTAGGTGCATGGATCAGAAAACCAGTCCGTATCTGGTGTGACCACCATTTGCCTCATGCAGCGCAACACATCTCCTTTGCATAGAGTTGATCAGGCTGTTGATTGTGCCCTGTGGAATGTTGTCCCTCTCCTCTTCAGTGGCTGTGCGTAGTTGATGGATATTTGCGGGAACTGGAACACGCTGTCGTACACGTCGATCCAGAGCATCCCAAACATGCTCAATGGGTGACATGTCTGGTGAGAATGCATGCCATAGAAGACCTGGGACATATTCAGCTTCCAGGAATTGTGTACAGACCCTTGCGACATGGGGACATGGGGCAGATGAATGGCACGACAATGGGCCTCAGGATCTCGTCATGGTATCTCTGTGCATTCAAATTGCCATCAATAAAATGCAATTGTGTTCGTTGTCCTTAGCTTATGCCTGCCCATACCATAACCCCACCGCCACCATGGGGCACTCTGTTCACAACGTTGACATCAGCAAACTGCTGGCCCACACGATGCCATACACACTGTCTGACATCTGCCCGGTACAGTTGAAACCGGGATTCATCCATGAAGAGCACACTTCTCCAGTGTACCAGTGGCCATCGACGGTAAGCATTTGCCCACTGAAGTCTGTTACGACGCCGAACTGCAGTCAGGTCAAGACCCTGGTGAGAATGACGAGCACACAGATGAGCTTCCCTGAAACGGTTTCTGACAGTTTGTGAAGAATTATTCGGTTGTGCAAACCCACAGATTAATCAGCTGTCCGGGTGGCCGGTCTCAGACGATCCCGCAGGTAAAGAAGCCGGATTTGGAGGTCCTGGACTAGCGTGGTTACATGTGGTCTGTGGTTGTGAGGCCAGTTGGACGTACTGCCAAATTCTCTAAAATGACGTTCGAGGCGGCTTATGGTAGAGAAATGAACAGTCAATTCTCTGGCAACAGCTCTGGTGGACATTCCTGCAGTCAGCATGCCAATTGCACGCTCCCTCAAAACTTGAGACATCTGTGGCGTGTTGTGTGACAAAACTGCACATTTTAGAGTAGCCTTTTGTCCCCAGCACATGGTGCACCTGTGTAATGATCATGCTGTTTAATCAGCTTCTTGATATGCCACAACTGTCAGGTGGATGGATTATCTTGGCGAAGGAGAAATGCTCACTAACAAGGATGTAAAGTAATTGGTGCACAACTTTTTAGAGAAATGGAGACTAATAATATGGAACATTTCTGGGGTATTTTGTTTCAGCTCATGAAACATGGGACCAACACTTTAAGTGTTGCATTAACATTTTGGTTCAGTGTAATTAAATGCATAAGGCTTCAGGGCTTCTTATGGCGATTTTGTGACTGAAGGCCACACACAATTGATTGTGCCATCTTCTAATGAAATTATTGGGCAAAGCAGATTGATCCTATGAAAGATGTTCTCCTGTGACCAAAGCACTTATGAAAGAAAATGTGAATACCTGCTGTAATTTTGTTTTTTGTTCATACGTCTTCGTATGCATTTGTTGTCCTGCAGCACATCTTTCTGATGGAGCAGAATGAATACAAGGAGGAGGGCATCGAGTGGGAATCCATTTCCTTCAAAGACAACAAGCCTATCCTGGTAAAAATACATTTCCTCTCATTTTTCCTCATCACTTAGTACTCTTTTTCTCTCTCAACCTTTTTTTGTCCCCCTTTTACACCCGCTCTCTCTCCCTTTTCCTCCCCTCTCGCTCAGTAATAGCACAGACAGGTTGTTTAAACACAGTGTGAGTCTGCCAGACAGAACAGAACAAAGTGACCGAGACCCCAGGAAGGGGTAATGCTGACAGGGCAGTGTTCAGTCACATACCAGGAGCTTAATGGGCACTTCTGCTTTTAGCCTGTGGCCACTGGTTTCATTTGGCAGAGAATAGTGTCCCTGTCCATGACTGAAGGTATGAGTAGAGCCAGTCTGTAAGCTATGGGATAAGATGGACATATTAGGAGTTGTGGGAAGGATTCTAACGCGAGTTAGGATTGGGCCTAGGGCGAGTAATGCACAACCTGGATCCACAGGTCCTGTTCTGTGTACCCACTCAGTCCTAATGCCTACAGAGAACTATAAAACTTCTAGAGCATTTTACAGTGTAGGGGCCATAGTCAATAAAGATCGGGGAACATGGTTTTCAGGATAGGACTGTGAGAAGGCATGTTTTAAAGTCATGTAGTTGTGTACCATGTTTCACCCAGTTAACAGTTGGCGAGATTAACCGAAATATGCATTTTCACAGTAGAAGAATGTATTTGTTTAGGTGTTTTTCCTTGTCTCATATACAACTGATTAATTTGATGTGTTTCTCTCCTGCAGGACCTGTTCCTCACTAAACCCATTGGAATCCTTTCTCTCCTGGACGAGCAGAGTGCCTTTCCTCAGGTACCTAAGTGGTCTCAATACTGTTTTTTTGGAAATTCCCCTCCCCTACATCTTTGTATTAATGTATATGTATTCATTCAAATCTCTTTTCCCTATTTGTCCCCTCAGGCGTCAGACAGAGACTTTGTGGACAAGTTGAACAGTAAATTTAAAAGCAGTCCCCACTATGAGGTGGTCCGTAGTCATAGCCCCCTCTTCACTGTGGTTCACTATGCTGGGAAGGTGAGGTTACATTCATACATGCCTTTATAACAATACTTAATGTAACTGTCCAGTGTTACCAGTTTTCTATTAAATATGACCTATAATTAATTACAATGAGTGAAATAGTTTTCCTTCCACATTTAGTAAATTAAGTATGTTAAAAAGCAGCTTTTCTGACAACAGAATGGTGTGGTCGTACCCCAACAACAGAATGGTGTGGGTGCACACTGGTCTTTAAAAATAGTCATGCAAATATTCAGGTCGACCGCTAATTGGCCAGCTCATCCTCCTCAGGAGGATGACATCGTCCTCTATGAGGACATAGCAATCATTTTTTTAACTGTCTGTTTGAGATACACATTTGAGATGGGTTTTTTGAAGGGTACCCCCCCACAAATACTAGTATATGATGAGTCAACAACATTATTTGGGTATGAGTTAACATAATATTAACTCTTAAAAGTTAGATTTTCACTGGACAGTTACTTGTATAATGCATTATGAGTTATTATGTGTGTTTATAACTACATCTATACTACATCAGGACTGCATTATAACTCATTATGAGTGTGGTTAGGAAGCATATGGGCTTCAAATAAAGTGTAAGTTAATTCTCTCCTTTGTGTGTCCAGGTCCAGTATAATGGAGTAGGTTTCCTAGAGAAGAACAGAGACACCATCCCAGCCAGCATCAGAAGCCTCTTCATCAACAGTGTCACCCCCCTACTCAGTCTCCTCTTCGCAGGTACATGAGGGAATCTGAATGTTTCTGTATTCAACAGCTCTGCACTTTGCCAGAAATGACCTACGTTTTTATCACTGCACAATCGTCGATTTATGTACGTCTGTGTACACAGTGATTTGTTAAACTGTAGCTATTAAATCAGTTCTGTAAACATGCGTAACATGGATCAGAGCTCATACACAATGACGTGGGCTGGTTTCCAATGAGGATTTGTGGACAAATACACCCCCTGACCTCTTCTTAGAAAACAATGTAGGATTTTTAAAATAATTTAATGGTTACTGTTATCTGAACACACCACCATAACATTCACAGACTCTGGTCAGTTTGAGAATTGTTCTAGTTTAAAACATTGATCACTGTCTGGCATCTCGCATCTAATATTCACATATGATTCATATTTGATGTCTTTTCAGCCACAATCTCCAGGACAGGGACCTTGATGCCACGCAAAGCCAAGGTAGGCACTGTAGATCATAGTCCAGTTTGAAATAAATTCACGAAGTGCAACAGAATATGATATACAGTAGATTCTGTAGAATAAATTACTTTTGGTTCCAAACAGCCAGGGTCATATTTGGACCTTTCTTACAGGGCAAATCAGAGCCAGAATGTGGGTTTAAACGATGTTTAATCATTTTTCTTTTAGCTCATGCAAAAGGCAGATGACAACTTTAACTCAACTAGGAAACAGTCTGTGGGGGCCCAGTTTAAGGTAAGGCATACGTTGACTTTATGTTACACATCTGGATTTATAAACCTCTTATTTCTGAGCGTTAGATTTCATAATGATGTCTGAGTACTAAATATGAACAATACTGAAAATATGCCTACCAATAGACTGAACTGCTGTAAAATAAAGATGCACAGATAATGATTAGTAATCTCCACTATGTGTATGTGTCATACGTTCAGCACTCTCTGGCTGTACTGATGGAGAAGATGTTTGTGGCCAGTCCTCACTTTGTCCGCTGCATCAAACCTAACGGTAGCAAGCTTCCTGACCAGGTGGACAACAAAATAGTAATGGACCAGGTGAGAACCAATATTTAATATATTATTTTAGATGTACTGTACTGTACTGTAGGCATGTCTACCTTACATTGGAGATGAAAAAGGTAGCAGCCAAAGCTTCAGTATTTCCCCTAGCTAGATTATTTCCTAGGCAGGGTGCACAGGCCTGAAATAATACCAGTCCTTTTGTGCATTTAACGTTTGACCCCTTTTTCAGAATAATCAATGCTTTCAAAAGCTAAGCAAATGGTGCATTACAAAAGCTATGTGAACAGTGCATAGTTGTCAGTGCTGAAAGTTATATGTATAACGCAGTATCGATACATTGTGGGGATTGGGCCAACTTCAGAGTCAGGGTTGTGTTCAATAGGCACGAAATGGAAGAAAACGGACTGAAACTATCTGAACTTGACCAATAAGAAACGCTTGTTTTCCTTCTCCTTTACAAAGCGTTTTGCTTCAGTGTGCCCTAATGAACAAGACCCAGTCCCCAGTATGCTAATCAGTGGTTGGCTAAGCAGCAGCATCTAGGTACTAGTTTAGTAGGTCAGTGTCTGACTGACTGACGGGGCGGTGTGTTCATAGGAAGTGGATTTGGCCCCAGAAGAGGGTTAGTATAGCCCTGATGAAACAATGAAGCTGGTTAATACCCTGTCGTCAGTGAACACTGCTGTCTAGTCTGACAGTAGGGGGCTTTCTTCCCTCCCCTCTCCTCATCCACAATCAATGCTTTTTAAATGTGATTGTCTAGGCCTGAACTGATATAACACTGCAATGCAGTATTGGCGGGTGGGTAGACAATGGTTTAACTGGAACTATGGTTAATAACTGTGAAATTGTGGTGGATAATCTATGTTAAAGCTGTGCTGTAGCTCTATTGCCCTCCATAAGCAAGACTAGGTTAAGCCTAGGTTAAGACTAGGTTAAATAGTTGTCAATCCAAAGCTTTTTGACCATCCATATGTGCTTTTTAAACAATCCCGCCCCCTTATCATCATCATCATCATCATAACTGTGCTTATGCTACATCGCCACCTGCTGTTCAGCTTTGACATTGCATTTAGTTGTTAAAGTAAGTCCAGTAGGTATCTGATATGGGCATCAATTACACCTGATTCTGCTTGGGGTATGTGGAACATATTTATATGATAGCAAAGGATTATTTAATTTTTTTTCCAGCTAAGATACAACGGCCTGCTGGAAACCATCAGGATACGAAGAGATGGCTTCTCCTGGCGACCATCGTTCAAAGAATTTGCTCAGAGGTATGCATTACTTGTAACATGGCTACTGTAATCTTGGCCAACACACAAACGTGGATGCATGATATTGCTGTGCACTGCAGTTTTATTTTCAGTGCACCATGCTAAAATCTTCTGTTTCCCCTCTTCAGGTACAACATTCTGCTGATAAAGCCAGATTTACCACTAACCAAGGAAAGGTATAAAGACACTTGCACTCATTCCTGCAATTAAAAAAAGATGACATACACCAACATCATGTTGAGTGATTTCATAGACATTTGTACAGCACTTTGTTCCATCTTATTAAATGTAACCTGTGTGGTTTGTCTTTTTCAGCTGCATGTCTATTCTCAACACAACTGAGATACATGGCTGGAAGTGTGGGTAAGGCTTCATTAGTTGCTCTTGTTGTGTTAAATGAATTGGCTAAGAAAATTATTTGCCACAATCGGTCTGAGAAGACGAACTTCCTTACTGCTGAATCTTCCTGTAACAAAGCTTTCATAATTTCATCAAAGCATGTTTTTATGCTGGAAAGAACAAGTCAGTGAATAGTTTATTTAGATTTCAGTTTCAATACATTTGGATCGCTGCCTCCATTGAGACATGGGAACACTCATTACTGATAATTCTCCCAGGTTCCAACTCGCCTAGTTCAACATTCAATTTGAAGTCTTCTAAAACTGTCAACTGCTAATCAGTCTGCCAAAAACAGCTCATTCTTCAGTTAACACCTCAGTGTTGTCTTTGGCTTGTGAGGACAGCTCAGGGTTTATATTGAGTAAGGATCTTTATCTCAATTGCACTCTTTCACCCTCTCGGTCCCTGCTCTTGCTTTCTCCTGCTGTGTGGCTCTTTAGAAATGTCCTAAAATTACACTACATTACCAAAAGTATGTAGACACGTGCTCGTTGAACATCTCATTCCAAAATCATGGGCATTAATATGGAGCTGGTCCCCCCCCTTTTCTGCTATAACAGCCTCCACTCTTCTGGGAAGACTTTCCACTAGATGTTGGAACATTGCTTCGGGGACTTGCTTCCATTCAGCCACAAGAGCATTAGTGAGGTTGGGCACTGATTTTGGGCGAATAGGCCTGGCTCGCAGTCGGCGTTCCAATTCATCCCAAAGGTGTTCGATGGGGTAGAGGTCAGGGCTCTGTGCAGGCCAGTCAAGTTCTTCCACACCGATTGCGACAAACCATTTCTGTATGGACCTCGCTTTGTGCATGGTGGCATTGTCATGCTCAAACAGGAAAGGGCCTTCCCTAAACTGTTGCCACAAAGTTGGAAGCACAGAATCGTCTAGAATGTCATTGTATGCTGTAGCATTAAGATTTCCCTTCACTGGAACTAACCATGGAAAAACAGCCCCAGACCATTATTCCTCCTCCACCAAACTTTACAGTTGGTACTATGCGTTCAGGCAGGTAGCATTCTCCTGGCATCCGCCAAACCCAGATTCGTCCGTCGGACTGCCAGATGGTGAAGAGTGATTCATCACTTCAGAGAACGCGTTTCCACTGCTCCAGAGTCCAATGGCAGCGAGCTTTACCCCACTCCAGCTGACGCTTGGCATTTTGCATGGTGATCTTAGGCTTGTGTTCGGCTGTTCGGCCATGGAAACCCATTTCATGAAGCTCCCAACTAACAGTTATTGTGCTGACGTTGCTTCCAGAGGCAGTTTGGAACTCGGTACTGAGTGTTGCAACCGAGGACCGATGACTCAGCGGTCCCATTCTGTGAGCTTCTGTGGCCTACCACTTTGCGGCTGAGCTGTTGTTGCTCCTAGACGTTTCCACTTCACAATAACAGCGCTTACAGTTGACCGGGGCAGCTCTTGCATGGCAGAAATTTGACGAACTGACGTGTTGGAAAGGTAGCATCCTGTGACGGTGCCACGTTAAAACTCACTGAGCTCTTCAGTAAGGCCATTCTACTGCCAATGTTTGTCTATGGGGATTGCATGGCTGTGAGCTCAATTTTATACACCTGTCAGCAACGGGTGTGGCTGAAATAGCCAAATCCACTCATTTGAAGGGGTGTCCACATACTTTTGTATATATAGTTTTATGAATATGGCTTAATGACAGTACTGAAGTTGATTGGAAATCTTTCTTTCTCGAATGTTCTCTCTGATTTAATAGTGCTGTATGCAACAATTCCCCGTGCAAATACCACTTAATATCTATAAACATTGTTTTTAAACTGTCTCTCTCGCTGTCTCTTTCTGTGGCAGTTCGTCTCGTATGTTCTTTAAGTATTGGCACCAGGAGGAGTTGGCCAGGCTGTTGGAGAGACTGGGCAAGGCAGCACTTGTCATCCAGAAAGGTAAGGGCCACAAACCATAGTATCTGGAACATAATCTCTCAAATGTCTGTCAAAGTAATTTATTTGGCCTCTGTGAGATGTTGCTGCTTTTAAACTCAGGCCTGAGGGTAAAAACCCTCTCAGGGAGGTAGACTAGGTTATAATCATTGAAGTAAACATTGAAATAAATCACGATGGGACATGATTAAACAAACATTACCATCAGCAAGTTACATGCAGTGCTACCCTCAGTCTTTGCGTTGCAACCCCCCACCCCCCTGCAAGATGGATGATCGTTTCTATGGCATACTGTCTGGTATCTTGATTTCATGGCCTGTGCTTACTGTAGCATCATTTTGCGTGTAATGTGGTCCTTTATCACAAATACAAATAAAATCACATTTTATTGGTCACATACACGTGTTTAGCAGATGTTATTGCGGGTGTAGCGAAATGCTTGTGCTTCTAGCTCCGACAGTGCAGTAATATCTAACAAGTAATATCTAACAATTTCACAACATATACCCAACACACACAAATCTAAGTAAGGAATAAATTAAGAATATATACATATGGACAAGCAATGTCAGAGAAGCATGGACTAAGATACAGTAGAATAGTATAGAATACAGTATATACATATGAGATGAGTAATGCCGATATGTAAACATTATTAAAGTAGCTAGTGTTCCATTTCTTTAAAGTGGCCATTCATTAGTAATGTTTCTCTCCTCCCTATGTCTCTCTCCTTTCTACGTCTCATCACTGCATCTCTCACTCTCTCTCTTCACATTCTCACTGTTGCTGTGTGTTTGCAGACTACCGTTCACTGCGCTGCAGGAGGAAGTACCTGTCCCTGCTGGCGGAGGTGCACAGACAGAGGCAGGCCCAGAGAGAGAGGGAGGAGAGAGAAGCCAGGGAGTTGGAGGAGAAGATGAGGAAGCAGGAGCTGGAGGAGGAGATGAGGAGGCGACTGGACATGGAGCAGGAGAACAAGAGTAAGGACACAGAATATCGTTTTCCTTCTATCTCTTTCTCCCTCTCGTCTCTTACTCACCAACCGTGCATTCGGAAAGTATTCAGACCCCTTCACTTTTTCCACATTTTGTTACGTTACGGCCTTATTCTAAAATGGATTACATTTTTAAAAGTCAGCATCAATCTACACACAATACCCCATAATGACAAAGCGAGAACTGGTTTTTAGAAATGTTTGCAAATGTATTAAACATAGAAAACAGAAATACCTTATTTACATAAGTATTCAGACCGTTTGCTATGAGACTCGAAATTGAGCTCAGGTGCATCCTGTTTCCATTGATCATCCTTGAGATGTTTCTGAAACTTGATTGGAATCCACCTGTGGTAAATTCAATTGATTGGACATATAAGGTTCCACAGTTGACAGTGCAAAAACCAAGCCATGAGGTTGAAGGAAATGTCCGTAGAGCTCCGAGACAGGATTGTGTCGAGGCCCAGATCTGGGGAAGGATACCAAAAAATGTCTGCAGCATTGAAGGTCCCCAAGAACACAGTGGCCTCCATGATTCTTAAATGGAAGAAGTTTGGAACCACCAAGACTCTTCCTAGAGCTGGCCGCCCGGCCAAACTGAGCAATCGGGGGAGAAGGGCCTTGGTCAAGGAGGTGACCAAGAACCCGATGGTCACTCTGTGGAGATGGGAGAACCTTCCAGAAAGACAACCATCTCTGCAGTACTCCACCAATCAGGCCTTTATCAGGCCAAGCTTGTAGTGTCATACACAAGAAGACTCAAGGCTGTAATTGCTGCCTACTTGTTCTCTCTCTCCCTACCACTGTTCAATTTTTGTTCTTTACCTCCACCCTTCTCCGAACTCTTTCTCTCTCTACCCCTCTATGTGCACGTTGACAAATACATTTCAGTATGACTTAAATAAAGAATTCAGCATTCAAGAATGTGTAAGGATCCTTGTCACTCACTGTATGTATACACTGAGTGTACAGAACATTAAGAACATCTTCCTAATATTGAGTTACACCCCCGCCCCCCCACACTTTTGCCCTCAGAACAGGCTCAATTCGTCGGGGCATGGACTCTACAAGGTGTCGAAAGCGTTCCACAGGGATGCTGGCCCATGTTGGCTCCAATGCTTCCTATAGTTGTCAAGTTGGCTGGATGGCCTGTGGGTGGTGGACCATTCTTGATACACAGGAAACTGTTGAGCATGAAAAACCCAGCAACGTTGCAGTTCTTGACACAAACCGGTGCGCCTGGCTACCCCGTTCAAAGGCACTTAAATATTTTGTCTTGCCCATTTACACTCTGAATGACACATACACAATCCATGTCTCAATTGTCTCAATGCTTAAAGATCCTTCTTTAACCTGTCTCCTCCCTTTCATCTACACTGATTGAAGTGGATTTAAAAAGTGACATCAATAAGGGATCATAACTTTCAGCTAGAATCACCCATGTCAGTGTATGTCATGGAAAGAGCAGGTGTCCTTAATGTTTTGTACAGTCAGTGTAGCTTTAACCGGGGTGTCTGTGTGTCTCAGGGCCATTCTCTCCACCCGTGCCCCTACCCAGGAAGAAGAAGCCACAGCCCCGGCCTCGCTCCATCCTGCCCACAGCTATCCACCTGGCCCCTGTCCCACGGCCCCGCAGCAAACCATTTGAGGTGAGCCATACTCAAGAGTCTACACTGGTAACCTTTATTTAATTGAGAACTGTAAGAAGTAATTTGCAGGAAGGAATCTCATGTTGTCTCTCTGTTATAAATATCTCTGGTGCTAGCAAGCACTGGCTAGCACGCAGACAGCATGTTAGTGGGAACCATGCTATTGACTGATCTTGTACCCTACGACAATCGCCCTCCCACTCTATACACTGACATCCACTCCCAGTCTTTGATGACTAAATTTGACCCTAAACTGAGCCTTAAATGACCCTAAGATTTACCCTATACGGTTCCCTCTGTCTCTCCCAGGCCACTCCCTTTGACAACCTGGAGGTGCACATTGAACTGGCTGAGTTGGTGGGCCAGGCAGGGGGAGAGGAGCGGGCCAGGGAGAGGAGCAAGAAGAGGAAGAACACCATCCGCTGGTTCAAGGAGACGCAGGCCCGCAAGGTGGTCCACAATGGAGCCTTCCCCTGCTGGTTCCATGGCATGATCACACGCAGGTCAGTAAGAGAGGATGCCAAACACACATGCACATGTACGCACATTCTCATTCAGATTTCATTGTGGTTTTAACAAGTCTTTCTGTGTATGTCTCCTCTACAGACAAGCAGAGGATCTTATGACGGACAAGCCTGTGGGCTGCTTTCTGATTCGTGTGGGACAGAGCCGGGAGGGCTACACACTAACATACAAGTAAGACTGAGGATGACAAACTGGATTTAAACATATGTGTCATTTGGTGGATGAATCTAAGACATTAAACCCCTAACCTCCCGTTTGGCCCTAATCCTTTGTGACCTATGTGTACCCTTTACCCTCTGACCTTGGCCTCTCCGTCTATCCGCTGTCAGGGGTGCGAACCGCTGCAGGCACTTTATGATCGAGATGCAGTCCAACGGGAAGTATGTGATCCTGGGGGAGGATAAGGCTCACCCCTCCCTGCCTGACCTGGTGCAGCACCACAGCCGGTTGGGCATCAAGCCCTTCAACGAGCTGCTTACCACCCCCTGCGGACAGGTCAGCATCGGGTCAAACACCCTTTAGGGTCTGGCTCCTGTCAAATACTGTCTTGAATATACCCACAGTTGTAACAGGGTCTGCCAGGATCTGTGTGTAATATTAAACAATAAGAATGAATCATCAAACATTTATGCATTTGATGTAGTCTGGGAAGAGCCATGAGCTGTTATGAAAGCTTATAGCAAGTGTTCTACAATCTACATGCATGCACTGTTCCAGATTTAATGTAAGCTAATTTTAATCTGTTGTTTCAGACATGTGACCAGAACACAGACTACGAGGACTTGAAGGGCTTGGACCTCCTGGCTTCAGCCGACCACGGGAGCTCCAAGTCTGGGGAGGAGGAGGAGGGCGAGTCGACCCCCGTCCACCTGGAGCTACAAAGGCTCTTCCTGCCCCCGGGGCAGAGCCCCAGCCTGGAGTCCCAGAGACCCCCTGTCCTCAGGCGGATATCTGACCACAGACACCGGGCCGAGGCTAGAGGAGGGGAGGCCCGCGGAGGGAGGGACAGGGAGAGAGGAGAGTGGGAAGAAGAGGAGGACAAGAGGGACCACAAGAGCAGGCCCTTCCCCCGGTTGTATCCTTCCATCCGATTGGCTATGAGGGAGATCCAGCAGATCCAACAGGTGAGAGGCAATGATGAGGAGAGGGAAGAGGGAGAAAGGATGGATAAATGGAGGGAGAGATGTAGAGGCAGACTTAATGTGATTGGACAGATGGTGTAGAGTTGAATGGCCTATGTATTAATGCTGGATCCAGGTTATCATTGTTTCTCAATGAAATTACACACATCTTCTTGAAATGTCAGTCTATAGAACTGGTTGGGTACATTTTGGTCTATTGCTAGAACTGGTGTAGGTACATCTGCGTATAGATAGCAGTCAGGATATGGTGTTGTTGAACCATTAAAGGGTGTCTGCACATCCTGATTTGGCCTTGTTTTTTATCAATGCTCATTAAGAAATGCTAGCGGCCATGACTGAAGGCAAACAAGAGTTGTCTTGGGGGGTGTGGTTTGATGCGGGTGTTTCTGGGGTGTTTTTGCCATTCAATCACGACACAAGGACAGTAGCTAGCCAGTTCGAGTTGAAACATTGTTGAAAGCAAGCTGGCAACATGCGTCAAACGTTGTCAGGTTTGCGTGATTATGAGCTAGCTAGCTAACGTTAGCTACCAGGGAGCAAACCTGTCTTCAGGTACAATGTTAGCTATGCAAATCTTCCTCTCAAATTGCATGTTAGGCACATGTATTTAGCTAGTTACCTCACAGTATTATAGGCTATGCCGCTATGATACAAAGCTACCAAATAATGATGTAGCTAGCTAGCTATAAACAAAACTTCTCTACTTACCTGTGGTGTATTGGAGGGTATACGCCATATACCCACTTATTTTTCTGTGGGCACTGCGTATACTCACATGAACTCCCTTAATGTGTATCAAAGTAGTATAGTGGAGATACAGTGTATACGCCATATTCATTAATAAGGCTGATGGAACAGTTCAGAATGTTTAGCTTAAAATGTTGATAAACTTTGTTCACATTTTAGGCGCAGCAGTGTGCACACGGCGGTAGACATGCGTGTGAATGTTCCAAAATTCAATTTGCGGGAAAATACAGTTCTAAAATGCACACCACACATGCGAGCGGTTTCATGGATAGAGATGGAAATAGCCGTTAGAAATGTAGAAAGAAATAAAAAAATGCTACAACCATCAAGGTTTGCTAATATGACTAGGATAATGCCTTTGGCTGCTAGACAATGAAAGAAAGTTGAAAGAAACCCAATAGAACAGGAGAACGCATACGAGGAAGTCTTTATAAAATAATTGTCTCCACGTTTCTATGGTGCATTTTGGCTATATAGGGTACTTTGAAGAAAGGTAAGACATGCCTCATAATATGAAGTAAAACTTCCAGGTTTCAAACAGGAAAAGGAACAAGAAAATATAGCAATGCTAATGATAGGCCCAACAGTCTTCTGGTAGATGGAATGGCTTTCCCAAAAATCTTCTCAATTAAGTGTTAACTAGCTACAAAGTAGCCTATGCCTTCCTGGCAGAATGAAATTATATCATGATTATTTACATCAATCCAGTGGCCATTTGTTTAGCAAGCTCCATCTCATGTGCTACAGAAACACTGCTAACCAAACAACAGTGCTAGGTGTCTGTGCACTTGAATTAAAGGGTAACTCAAATAAACATTTCTTAGATTTTACCCAGTCCTCAAAAGTGGTCTACTGCATTGTTATGGACTTAGAACATCCAATGTTGTTTTTCAACAAAAAAAAAAGTGTGACCTTGAGAGCAAAAACCTGAAAATAATTGAATAAATCTGAAACCTGTGTATTTCTGACGGAGTTGACAGCCTTCTAAATCTAGCTACATATTACACTTCCATCCTCTCAGGCCAGAGGCACAATGTGTGAATTAATGGTTGGATCAGAATTGCCATTATAATCATTGGCCAGTACGGAGAATTAAGTAAAAGTCCAAATCCCTATCTCCATCCATGGCTAATGTAGGAAAGTGCCAATTTTAGCTAGCTAGCTAGCTAGCTAGCTAGCCACTGGAGGACAGCAACACAACGAGATGCAACAATTCAAGTTGTTTCTGTCAATGACGTATGCGCTCGATGCGATTTGATAGGAGCAATGCCAAATCCAAACTGGCTTCCCTTAACACTTTTTTTGGTGCGCCAGGACCTTTCACAAAACAGCTCACTCAGTTTAGCTCAACCCTGATTGGTTACTATCTAATACTTTTTTTTTTATCAAGGGAGGCCAAATGCTCGCTGGCTTCCCTTGCATTCAATGCTACAGGCGGCAACAATGTCATACTCTTTATGACCAGACAGCATCAGATAGATGGCTTACAGAGACAGATAGACGCTGTTTCGCTCGCTTGGATGCTTTCTCCGGTGAGATACATTCAGCCTCTTGCGAATTGAAGGAAATTATGTAACACTTTTTGGGGGAAGCCTGGCTTCCCTTGGCTCCATGAATACACACCACTGTTTATGACCAAAATTATACTATTTACACTTTGTAGTCAATTTTGAAAGAATAATGAATGTTTCTGATTCATATTGATGCCACATAGGCTGTTTAAAACCAGATAAGTTGGTTCTAAGGAGCAGTTGACCTTTAAAATAACTAGACTGTAGGCCTAGTCTCTAAAACATGGTTTCCCAAACTCGGTCCTGGGGCCCCCCCTGGGTGCACGTTTTGGTTTTTGCCCTAGCTCTACACAGCTGATTCAAATAAACAAAGCTTGATGATGAGTGCTAGTGCAAAAACCAAAATGTGCACCCGGGGGGGCTCAGGACCGAGTTTGGGAAACCTTACTCTAAAACATGTCAGTACAAGCCCCATCTGAAAGATCACGCAACATACCACCTAACTATTCACGATTGCCAATTGGCTTTTTGAATTGATACACTGTAGGTTGAACCGTCTTTGTTTTTTTCCAAACCACCCCAGATCATTTCTGGGAATCATGGTTGATTTTTAGGAGCTGATTTTTTAATGAGAAAACAAGATTAGCCAAACTGACACAATGAATGTGCCCCAAGTGTTCATTTAATATCCATTAATAAAGAAATGTGGATGAATTTGTGATGTTGTCTGTCTTGTGTCTCTGCAGCATTTTCCAGATGGCCAGGATCAGAGCCCCTCTGTCTCTCACAGTACCCCCAACCCCTCCTGGAGAATGACGGGTAAGTCATAGTTCTGGCCTGCAGGGCATAACATTGTGCAATATATTGTGTGCAGACATGTCTCTGTCATGTGTAATAGGGAATTATGTCAGCTCTATTCATTGACATTTCATTACTATACCACGCTGCCTCCCACAACCCAGCACACCATAATTTTGCCTGTCTGAGTGTGCATGCCGTTGTTCTTGCATGTATTTTTATATACATATAAATAACCAACACCTTCTCAAGCAGAATCAAGTATTTAGCCAAGCAGTGGTTTACACTGACTTATGCTATTTTTGTGTCTGTTGCAGATTCATAACCCATGGGATGGAGGGAGTTAATGCTATTTGTTGTTTTTGCCAAACTGAATGAGTTAACTGGACCATATTCTGTCAAAGCTATATCCAGGTTTTATGAACAAATTGTAAGGAGATACTTCCTTGTTTACTAGTATTTTATTTGTTGTGTTTTATTTTGTAACGATTTTAATTTAAGGGTGTTAAAGGGTTTTATGTTTCTTAATGTATTGTTGTTTTATATGTTTATTTAAATGAAATTATGCAGTGGGAATGTTTACATTCACTGATTTACAGAATATATTTTTTTTTTTTACATTTTAGTTATCTGGTTGTCCTCAAGTTTTTTTCCCCCCATCATAATAAAATCTGCATGAAAATGCATAGGTATTAACACATCATGGCTTTCTCTTTCTCTTTCACTTCACATATCAGTCATCAGTGAGTTTTTTGCCGTTAAAGAATCAGCCAATAGGCATGCAGACCTGTAGAGAGGAGTGTTTTTTTTTTTTTTTTTTTTTTTTTTTAGCTGATATTAGCAGCCAGTGACCCCATTCAGAGTAGTAGATGGATCAGAACAGGCAAACAGGAGTCTGGGACAAAGATCTAAATCAACCAGATTAGACAGTGGCATAGATCTAAATCAACCAGATAGTGTAGGACTCCAAATCTCATTGATGGATCTCAGGGTTCTGGCTCTTATGCTGTGTGTCACCATCTACTCCATCCAAGGTAATGTGATGCTCCCTTGAAAATGTTATTAATATACTGTGTGCACAACTCCAGTCCTCGATGGGTGTGGTCTTGCTGGTTTTTAATTGCTCTGGAATTTAATTGATTCAGTATTGATGGATTTTCATTTGGCATTTTTTGGGATTGGTTATTCTGTATCTTTGTGTAGCTCTGACATGGTTATAACTGCCTCTTTCAGGAGCCATTCCAAAATGTTGTGTTGGGACATCCAGGAGCATTCCTTTAAGCATACTAATGCGAGTGGAACGATATGACGTCCAACACAGCCATGGTGCATGTGAGATCAACGCTGTTGTGTGAGTCCTCACTACTTGTCCTGTATTGTCACAATTTCGCTAAAGAAAATAGTGCATATAGATTGCATGTAGGTAGTGGTGGAAAAAGTACTAAATTGTCATACTTGAGTAAAAGTGAAGATACCTTAATAGAATATGACTCAAGAAAGTCACTCAGTAAAATACAACTTGAGTAAAAGTCTACAAATATTCGGTTTTAAATATACTTAAGTATCAAAAGTAAATGGAATTGCTAAAATGTACTGAAGTATCAAAAGTAAAAGTAAAAATAATTTCAAATTCCTTATATTAAGCAAACCAGACGGCACAATATTTTCATATATATTTTTTATTGACGGATAGCCAGGGGTACACTCCAACACTCAGACATAATTTACAAACAAAGCATTGGTGTTTAGTGAGTCCACCAGATCAGAGGCAGTAGAGATAACCAGGGATGTTCTCTTGATAAGTGTGTGAATTGGACCATTTTCCTGTCAAAATGTAACGAGTACTTTTGGGTGTCAGGGAAATTGTATGGCGTAAAAAGTACATTATTTTCTTTAGGAATGTAGTAAAGTAAAAATTGGCAAAAATATAAAAAGTCAAATACAGATACCCCCCCAAAAAACGACTTAAGTAGTTCTTTAAAGTATTTTTACTTAAGTACTTTACACCACTGCATGTACGGCAGGCTACCGTCTTTGCTAATACAACAACCCCCATAGGCATGCCAACAGAGATTAGTTAGACAAGCTACTCAATCTTGATTAACCTGAAATGGCTTGGTAGCTAGTTATTAGGTTGGGAGATTGATAACCTATCTAGCTGACTAGCTAAAGCAACTTCATAAAATTGCTAGGTGGCTGGTATTATAGAGAAACAACATGTATTTATATTTTTTATTTATTCATCACGAATGAATAAATAAGCTACATAGCTTGTTCAAACATACCTCCTGCAAGTCCTGCCCATCACCGGCAGCTAAAATCAAATCAAACTCTTTCTCTTCCTCCACTGATGATACTGTCTGCACTACAGGAGGCTGCTGAAGGGAGGACATCTCATAATAATAGCTGGAATGGAGTGAATGGTATTAAACACATGGAAACCATGTTTTTGATGTGTTCGATACCATTCCATATATTCCTTTCCAGCCATTACTAGGAGACCGTCCTCCCAAATTAAGTTGCTACCGGCCGCCTGTGGTCTGCACACACTAGAGTGTCTAGTGTCCTGCCTACCATATCTTTGCTCCGTGATGCACCTAGGAAGGAACCACTTACTAGGAAGAATGGGTAGGGGGGTTACTCTTTGCCTGGTCCAGTCAGTGGGCCCCCTCCGCAAAATACCGCTGACAGATCTTTTTTTATAAACAATTATAAAATGTGGGCTTAAAAATGAAGTTTAGTAATTCATTTAACATCTGGAGAAAAAAAATAAAAAATAATTCTGAGCAAATCTATGGGAATGACGCCTCTGGTCTTATCTTTCAAGATTCCCTATCTACTTTTTCTGTTACACAAAAACATATGCCAATAAGACTGTCATGGGGTGCGTTCCAGATACACATTTTCTACACAGATTAGAGGACCATTATCATATTAATGTAGTTGATTAGATGCAAAATACTTCTCCAGGCATTGTAAAGATCTGAAATGCACCCACAATGTCCCACTCTCTTCTTGTACTGTAGATTACATGCCAATGGGAGGAAGTACTGTGCAAACCCAAGAGTGAAGAAGATCGTGAGAGCTGCCATGCAAATTAGGCAAGCTCAGCTGATGAGGCAAAAACTTAACTCAATCATGAGAAGATGAGGATATCCTGCCAGTTCCATCCAATGGAGCCACCATGACAACTTTGATTTATGTGTTTTAAATTCTCATCTTTTTGTTCTGTTTACACATAAAACATCTGTTTTAAGTCTTTTTACTATGTTCATATTTCACAGAAGTATGACTGATTTAATCATTAATAAATTAATTGTGATTTTCAATTAAACCTAATGATCTTTTGCTTTATTAGCCAACTCCAATGTGGTGAATGACCAGCAATGACAACTCAAAATTGGTGAAGCTGAAGAAAATGCACATGGATAAAATAAACAGCTTGTTGATCAGTAAACTACTTCCTCTTCAACATTCAGTCCTTTTAAGTGATTAAATGAGTCAGTGGTTGGTGATCTGATCCAGGGTTTCCACTCAAGCAGCATACTTTGTGTTAATTAATTACTCTCTTTAGAAGGCACTGCATTCCCCGAAACGTTGATTATTAGGTTTACCATTTAATTATTGAGATTATATGTAGAGTATGTGACTTCTTTTTTTTTTTTTTTACAATTAATAATTATCCTCGGGTTTAGAGGGAAGACTCTCCTCAAGTGTAAATGTGACAGCTTTTGGAACTACTCAGGGTGCTAGAGACAGGAGAGAAAGGTGACATGAATATCAGCAGGCCTACATATATTTTGTGTTCATCAAACATTAAATAACACTTACTTGTATTTTGCACAATACATTTTTCATTCCATTTTCACGTATTAACTATATCAACTGGGTCTTACCACATATGGACTTACGTACGTAATATTCATCCTTATGGGGACCCTGGTCCTGATCTGCCTCAGAGGGCCAGACAACTAGACAAGCTGATCTGCCTCAGAGGGCCAGACAACTAGACAAGCTGATCTGCCTCAGAGGGCCAGACAACTAGACAAGCTGATCTGCCTCAGAGGGCCAGACAACTAGACAAGCTGATCTGCCTCAGAGGGCCCGACAACTTGACAAGCTGATCTGCCTCAGAGGGCCAGACAACTAGACAAGCTGATCTGCCTCAGAGGGCCAGACAACTAGACAAGCTGATCTGCCTCAAAGGGCTCAATAACTAGAGAAGTAGAAAAGTAATACCTTTTTGATAGACATTTTGTATCTTACTACACAATATAAAAACCTATCTAAACAATACTTATAATTTAATACTGTAATGAAATTTAACACTAGAATCCTTAATTGAAGCAATAACAAAGCAGTGACCCCGCCTCTGTTTTTGGTCAAAAGCTGAGGGATGGGCCTGGAGAAATGTAACCACTCTCAAATGCATAGACTGAGCTACAGTGCCCTGCAAAAGTATTCATCCCCCTTGGTGTTTTTCCTATTTTGTTGCATTACAACCTGTAATTTAAATTGATTTTTATTTTTATTTCATGTAATGGACATACACAAGAGTCAAAATTGGTGAAGTGAAATGAAAAAAATATATTTTTTCAAAATATCCTAAAACATAAATAACAGAAAAGTGGTGCGTGCATATGTATTCACCCCCTTTGCTATGAAGCCCCTAAATAAGATCTGGTGCAATCAATTACCTACAGAAGTCACATAATTAGTTAAATAAAGTCCACCTTTGTGCAATCTAAGTGTCACATGATCTCAGTATATATACACCTGTTCTGAAAGGCCCCAGAGTCTGCAACACTACTAAGCAAGGGGCACCACCAAGGAAGCGGCACCATGAAGACCAAGGAGCTCTCCAAACAGGTCAGGGACAAAGTTGTGGAGAAGTACAGATCAGGGGTTGGGTTATAAAAAAATATCAGAAACTTTGAACATCCCACGGAGCACCATTAAATCCATTATAAAAAAATTGAAAGAATATGGCACCACAACAAACCTGCCAAGAGAGGGCCGCCCAGCAAAACTCACGGACCAGGCAAGGAGGGCATTAATCAGAGAGGCAACAAAGAGACCAAAGATAACCCTAAAGGAGCTGCAAAGCTCCACAGCGGAGATTGGAGTATCTGTCCATAGGACCACTTTAAGCCGTACACTCCACAGAGCTGGGCTTTACGGAAGAGTGGCCAGATAAAAGCCATTTCTTAAAGAAAAAATATGCAAACACGTTTGGTGTTCGCCAAAAGGCATGTGGGAGACTCCCCAAACATATGGAAGAAGGTACTCTGGTCAGATGAGACTAAAATTTGAGCTTTTTGGCCATCAAGGAAAACGCTATGTCTGGCGCAAACCCAACACCTCTCATCACCCCGAGAACACCATCCCCACAGTGAAGCATGGTGGTGGCAGCATCATGCTGTGGGGATGTTTTTCATCGACAGGGACTGGGAAACTGGTCAGAATTGAAGGAATGATGGATGGCGCTAAATACAGGGAAATTCTTGAGGGAAACCTGTTTCAGTCTTCCACAGATTTAAGACTGGGACGGAGGTTCACCTTCCAGCAGGACAATGACCCTAAGCATACTGCTAAAGCAACACTCAAGTGGTTTAAGGGGAAATATTTAAATGTCTTGGAATGGCCTAGTCAAAGCTCAGACCTCAATCCAATTGAGAATCTGTGGTATGACTTAAAGATTGCTGTACACCAGCGGAACCCATCCAACTTGAAGGAGCTGGAGCAGTTTTGCCTTGAATGGGCAGAAATCCCAGTGGCTAGATGTGCCAAGCTTATAGAGACATACCCCAAGAGACTTGCAGCTGTAATTGCTGCAAAAGGTGGCTCTACAAAGTATTGACTTTGGGGGGTTGAATAGTTATGCACGCTCAAGTTTTCTGTTTTTTTGTCTTATTTCTTGTTTGTTTCACAATAAGTGGTAGGCATGTTGTGTAAATGAAATGATACAAATCCCCCCAAAATCCATTTTAATTCCAGGTTGTAAGGCAGCAAAATAGGAAAAATGCCAAGGGGGGTGAATACTTTTGCAAGCCACTGTATGGATGCAAGGACTGACCATCCATGATACCATGTTTTGAGGCTATACAGTGTCTGTTTACATTTACATTGCTTACCAACATTGGAGTAAAACAAGCTTATATTTTGGGTTCTGATAGGGTACGACAGTTGAACTAAGCTCGTGAGGCATTCATAAATTATATTATTCAACAATCAATAGGTATATATAATTAATTTATAAGTAAAAAAAATATAGATGTAACAACTAAGGATTCTAGCTTGAAAATAGAAACATTTATGGTGTACCTTGAGGTTTATCCTTAACTTTCACAGTCTCAGCCTGAGGTGGACTGGAAACAGTTTGGGCCTCGTTGACAGGGTGTTGGCTCCATCTCTCATCTTTTCTTGTCTGCCGATTGAGGGAGGACTTGACACTAAATAATATTTTTTTAAGCCTGTTGCACAATAATTTTGGATTTAATAAACTAAATTAATGTACAAATGTTTTAAACACAGCAAAAAATATATTTGTTGTAGGCCTAAATATTATAGTGATTGCACAGTCATTTTTTAATTTTTTATGTTTTAAGCCTGTTACACAATCATTTCTGATTGTTTAACAAAACTGATGTACATTTATTTTTAAATACAATTAAATTAGTATGTTGTGATACATGGTTTTTACACAAAACAAAAACATTAAAAGGTCAATCTGCATTTCAAACAACAAAGCGGTAAACAGTTTAGCAGTAAACAAGAGAAACACTTTAACTCACCACTATTAGCTCTCTATCTCCCTCCTGTGGTTAATAATGATATATACAGTATCTCACAAGTGAGTACACCCCTCACATTTTTGTAAATATTTGAGTATATCTTTTCATGTGACAACACTGAAGAAATGACACTTTTCTACAATGTAAAGTAGTGAGTGTACAGCTTGTATAACAGTGTAAATTTGTAAGTCGCTCTGGATAAGGGCGTCTGCTAAATCATGTAATTGTAAATTTGCTGTCCCCTCAAAATAACACAACACACAGCCATTAAGTGTCAATATTTTGTGTGGCCACCATCACTTTCCAGCACTGCCTTAACCCTCTTGGGCATGGAGTTCACCAGAGCTTCACAGGTTGCCACTGGAGTCCTCTTCCACTCCTCTATGACGACATCACAGAGCTGGTGGATGTTAGAGACCTTGCACTCCTCCACCTTCTGTTTCAGGATGCCCCACAGATGCTCAATAGGGTTTAGGTCTGGAGACATGCTTGGCCAGTCCATCACCTTTACCCTCAGCTTCTTTAGCAAGGCAGTGGTCATCTTGGAGGTGTGTTTGGGGTCGTTATCATGTTGGAATACTGCCCTGCGGCCCAGTCTCCGAAGGGAGGGGATCATGCTCTGCTTCAGTATGTCACAGTACATGTTGGCATTCATGGTTCCCTCAATGAACTGTAGCTCCCCAATGCCAGCAGCACTCATGCAGCCCCAGACCATGACACTCCCACCACCATGCTTGACTGTAGGCAAGACACACTTGTCTTTGTACTCCTCACCTGGTTGCCGCCACACACGCTTGACACCATCTGAACCAAATAAGTTTATCTTGGTCTCATCAGACCACAGGACATGGTTCCAGTAATCCGTCCTTAGTCTGCTTGTCTTCAGCAAACTGTTTGCGGGCTTTCTTGTGCATCATCTTTAGAAGAGGCTTCCTTCTGGGACGACAGCCATGCAGACCAATTTGATGCAGTGTGCGGCGTATGGTCTGAGCACTGACAGGCTGACCCCCCACACCTTCAACCTCTGCAGCAATGCTGGCAGCACTCATACATCTATATCTATTTCCCAAAGACAACCTCTGGATATGACGCTGAGCACGTGCACTCAACTTCTTTGGTCGACCATGGCGAGGCCTGTTCTGAGTGAAACCTGTCCTGTTAAACCGCTGTATGGTCTTGGCCACCGTACTGCAGCTCAGTTTCAGGGTCTTGGCAATCTTCTTATAGCCCAGGCCATCTTTATGTAGAGCAACAATTCTTTTTTTCAGATCCTCAGAGAGTTCTTTGCCATGAGGTGCCATGTTGAACTTCCAGTGACCAGTATGAGGGAGTATGAGAGCGATGACACCAAATTGA